ATGAGGGAGGAGGTCCCTGCTGCGCCGCCACGGCCGTGGCAATCGGGACTGCAGCCCTGGAGGGCACCGGGTGATCCCAGTTCTCCCCTTTGCCTTCTCGGGTACCTTCCTCATCCTCCTGCACGGTGTTCGGAGCGGAGCGAGCGAGCACATGAAGAACTGGCTATGACGAGCAGTTTGCAAACCAGTGTTTTGCTTTACTCGACTCCCTACCCCACAAAACATCTTCCCAGTTCACCCATCAAATACCATAACTTTTCGTTATTTTGCTTCTTGATGTTCGTATTATTGCTATTACTATTTTAAGCCAACTATAAAAGGTGATCTACTCCAATGAAAATCATCTACCCCAAAAATGCTCTCTTTCCCCGACGTGCAACTTTAAATGCCCAACACYACCACCACCACCTTCCCGTCTTCGTCCGTTATTGCGGTTTACTGCACAGGAGTGGGAACTGGCTTTTCCCAAGCCCAGCTAGGAGCCTCTCAGGACTCAAAGAAAGAAACAGCAGAGTGGGAAGGAGATCGTGACTTGCTCTCGTCCCGATTGCCGCTCCCGACTTTGGGGACCAGGGCAAAGCTCCCCTTGCCACCAGGGATTCCTGTGAGTCACTGGGAGCTTTTTCAGGAGCCTTTACTGGCAAGTGATGCTCTTTGCGCTCGTTTCACCAAGCCAAAAACAACCACCGGTACATTTATTTTATTTATGTGTTTATTTTTCCGGAAAGAGAAATGTCCCCACGCACTTTCCTGGCGATTTCCAGCAAGTCTGGAAAACTATGCCCGTAATTTCAGCTGTGTCCGATACTCTTTGTAAGTCACACCACACACTAGTTCCTCTCGGAGAAGCGTCGAAACGGTTCCGCTTTAAACCGAGTGCTCTCCTCGCCCTGAGGGTCCAGGGGCATCTGGAGACGACGTCTCTGCCGCGCACGCCGCCCTTGATTGAATATTGCCGTTAATTACGGGCGCAGCACCTCCCTGCGCTGGGAAACCCACGCAAGCCGCGCTGCGCGCACCGCCGCGTACAGATAGGATAGCGCTCAGCTCTGCTCTCCCCGCCTTGCAAAGCGGCGATTCCCATTGTTCTTCTTTTTTAATGAGTATTTATTTATTTATTTATTTATTTTTGACAACACACATAGAGACCCACTCAGGGGAAGGATATTCACAGGAAATATTCCTGTTCTTTCCCAAATCCAAGCCTATTTGGAAAGGGCAGATTTGTCTCTCCTTTTTCCTTCACCCTCAAAAAAAAAAAAAAAAAAAAAAAAAAAAAAAGTCCTACGGCCCCAGGACAAGTTCATCTTCAACGCCCAGAGGTGAAGAAATCAGAGCTATGCTGGAGAAACTCCCAGAGAAGATGTCGCTGGCTGCTTCTTTTTTTTCCCCAAGAATTTAATTCCTAAGACAAAAATGACTTTTTTATATATTTTTTCCTTTTTYCTTTTCCTTCATCTCTCTCTCAAATCATAAAACCCAGCAGTGGTGTGGGACTAGAGGCGTGCAGCAGAGATGCTGCTTTCCTTGACACACCGTGTATCTCAATGTCCTGGGTACCGCCGTGCACATGCACACCTCCACTCAAAGTGGAATAAAAAAGAGTAAGAAAGAAAMAGAAATATAATAATAAAAAAATGTATGTGGATGTATATTTAGGGAGACACAAGAAAAGAAAAAAAAAAGAAAAAAAAAAAAAGGAATAGGTTGGTTTTAACTGGAGATTATTTAAGACGTTTGACTAGTCCCGCAGTCCCATTGTAGAGACACCAGATGTTATTTATAAGGTCTCATAAATGTGGGCCATACCATACAGGTGGGGAGGGAAAAGGAGAGAGAAAAAAGAATAAATTAAAAAAAAAAAAAAAAAAAGGAGGGGGGAAGGAAAGAAAAGAAAGAAGACGAAAGAAAGAAAGAAAGGAGTTCACCCCAAGGGGATGGAAGACAAAAATGATGTTTATGACTATATAAATCAAGCTGAAGTTTTGTAATGGAAACTCGAACTGCCTGGAGTTTAGAAAAGGGACTGGTGCAAAGCAGGAGAAACGGAGAGAGGTCCCCGGCGGTCATGGCTGAGAAAGCAGATTATAACATCAGATCAGTGGGGAGAGGGAAGTTTTGATGAGCTAGGTTCCTGCTGCTATTCATTTGTTTTTAACCTTAGCTGAAGGAGAGGTTCTAAGATAAGAAAGTGAAGAAGATAGATAGATAGATAGATAGATAGATAGATAGATAGATAGATAGATAAGATAGGTATAAGCTGGGGGGCTTTGGAAAATGCAGTGGAGCAGAGGAGATGATCAGGAATCTTTCTTTCTTTTTTTCCTTGCCACTGCTTATCCAGATCCACCTTTATCGCAGATCACTCCCGTGCGCTGCGGGGGGAACAGGAAGAGCAGCACCGGGGCTAGAACCCCGACGACTGCAGCTTAGGGCACAACAAGAGGAYGCTCTCCTTCCCCACTCCGAGGAAAGAGCATTTATATTATATATATATATGTATAATATTTTTCATATTATATTTTTATGCCTMATGTGCAACCACGAGAGCGTCTCTGGGAGCCTGAGAAATTTCCCGGCTACTGACTGAGCCCGTCCTCTTCTCATCTGGTCTCGTTTTAAAGGGAGCTTTCAGTTYGCATAGGCGAGCGTTTCTGCTGAGTTGTAAAAGAGCTTTCCCCGCTCCTTCAGTATTTTTCTTTTCTCGTCCCTTTTTTTACATAACTGTTGCACAGTTCTTGGACAAGAGAGGAACTACCTTATTCCCTCCCATCTCCCAGTCACGGCCCTCCCAGACTTCGGCTGGGAATTGCACGAGCTCTTTTGAGACGTTTCATACCAAACATATGTTCTACTAAAAATAATATCATCGGGACAATTA